TTGACATTTCCCAGAGATGTTGCATCTGAGTCAGATAACAACATCAGGCACATACAGCAAGAGGCCCATCGAGTGTTCCGATCGAGGAGGCACATCAGTGAAGACCTAGAGCCAGAACATGTGGACGGAGGAGATTTACCCGAGGTGGGTGGAATAATGTTTTTGATTATTGTTGTGTTGGGCCACCAAGAAAAATGTTATCAAAATGTGAACATTCTAGCTTGATGTGAACATGTAGTGGAGTTCAGCTGTAATTTAGCTAGGGTCCCACAGGAATCAAGGTGTCTTTACCTAATGACACGCCGATATACTGAGCAGAAAAACAGGCTGGCAAGATAGGGGCGAGTGCAAGTAGGTACACTTAGGCCGATGTCACACTTCAGATTAGACCACTAGCTATACATGAAACAGCAGGTTGTATGCTGTTGCTTGGGTCAGTGTCTGAAGGTATGGAAGTCAAGCAACTAGAATATTTAGAAGAGGGCTGACAAGGGTAGCCCCATATTTATTTTACGCTTTAATGATACAGGTGTCAGTGCTAATTTCATGGTTATGATCATGGTCATAAATACTTTTAAACCTTCATAATAAAAAGAAAAGCTAGCACAGTCCCTACCTGCCTTCTTTACAGCATGGCATTCTTCTACACACACACACACACTGATTTATTTGTTTTGTGGTGTATTTCCACATATGCATTTGCTTTGTTGCTAGCAAATTCCCTCAGACTTGTGTTCTTCTGGAATTTAGGTCATTTCAGGGACACATTGGTAGGCTTGTCAGTGGTCCTGTTGTTCACCGTGGAGACTGTGTGTTTTGATGCACACACCAATGTATCAAGTACCAAACTGGCATGTATGAAATCCATTTAAAGACTCGGAGTCCTGGCTGATTCCTTGTTTACAGCCTGCAATATCACTTGGAGGTTATTACAGAGCAGGGCAGCGGACCCAGTGGCGCAGAGCTCGCTAATCTGCTCAGGCTCCTGAATACAAAACACCTCTTCTGCTTGTCTGATAACCGGAGGGGTGCGCAGGGGGAGAGGGAGGGGCTGGACCTGCAATGACAATTACCAGGTGACCTTCTTTGCCTAGTTCTGCCATGCAAAGAAAAATCTCACAAACACACAAAGCACAACATGCCAGGTTATCAGAAAGGCTTCCTCATTTCAGTACATGGGCTAGATATTTGCAAGCATTGTGACCGAATTAGGGTCACTGTACCTGTAGTATTCAGGAGCACATGAATAGATTTAAAGTGACACTAAACACAGTTGTTAAATCTTAGAAATGCATTTAAATACCCTGACTATTAACACAAATGTACCTTATTTGTGTATCACTCGGCTGTAGGTCCTCAAAACATCTCTGAATTGGTGCTGACACTGTCCTTCCTTCTGGAGGGGGGCTACTTTTGTTCCCCATGGTCCCTGTGTGTGTTGTAGTAGCCACCTATCCAGGCTCGCTCCCGTGATGGACTAGCATCTCACAATTTAGTTTATTAATTTGTATTGAGATTGTGTTCCATCCCGGGCGCAAGCTTGGAGTGGTGGCTACTTTACAGTTCAGTGCCACTTTAATCAGTCTGCCTATGAGCATCACAAGACAGTCAGGAATGCAAGAACAATTCCATTGTCTTTTCATGTCTTCCCTGCTAGATTACTGCATAAATGTGATTACAGGGCTCTTGGGAAACTGGATAAGCATTGTTGTTTAGTCTTAAGGGAAGGGGATATGTTGCATACACTTGGCCTCTGGTGCCAGCTTATCTGGGAGAATATGATAGCGATCGGTCAATATTTGTTACCTGTACAGTTATATTACCCCTGAGGGCTGTTAGTGTGCAGTCTCTACAGAGCACCCACAGAACCGAGCTCATCACTGGATGCAATACACTTTTATTGTATGTCTAAAAGTATTAGAAAGTAAATGTAAAGCTTTTACAGAATGCTAATTTGCTAGTAGAAACGAGGCCATGGGTGCTTTGTCTTACAGTTATACAGCTTTTTTTGTCCAACCTGAAGATGCCCACTTTAAAATTCAAGTGGAGTATTACCAACCACAATTTTGCAGTATGTTTTCTTTAGGTCTCCTTAGCTGTCCCCTGTTGCTCTGTGTGTTTATTACATTGTAAAATATAGCAACTGCAGATTCATGGGGTTTTCTGAAGTATAGCATCCCCTACACTTTACTACATGTGCATTGCTTTGTAAGAGCTTTGAATCTTCAAGTAGCTTAGGCCTCCTGAATGTAAGTCATTTATATCTACAAGACTGACTGCATATTTTAAAGTGTTGATGGTTGTAGGTACATTCATCTGTGATCCATGCGATGTACTTTCTTAAAAATAGGTGATGCCCTCTTGTGCTTCACTAAGCTGCTGTCAATCATCTTGCCACTTAGACAGGAAAACACAGACACTAACCTATCAAGTTCCCAAAGAGCTAATTTGCATATTATGAGCCCTCCGAGTGCCAGGAAACCAATTAGCATTAGCGCACAATTATGTTTAGAAGTTTTAACTGCTAATCTCATTGCTGGAGACGTGACTTAAGTGGCACAGGTGATGACATCATATTATGTATGTGCCCATGTTTCCTTTCCCATCAGCCAGGCTCTCCAATGGAGCGAGCCAAGGAATGCCATTAAGCAGTGCATTGCTGCGATGCCTTCATAGGGGAGACAGGGCAAGTGGGGAAAGTCTCGTCCTTTGAAGATAAATGTGTCCAAAGGCACAGACTGGCATTCAAGCCGTTTAGTCCCTCAAAATGTTAAAACACATGTAACTGCTGGCTACATATAAATAGGCCAACCAGCAAAAGTAGCTGACCCCTCCGTGTGGGCTGATGTCACTTAAACCATAAAACACCACCGTCATGCTTTTGGGGGCTCTGCAGTTAAAAACACTTGCTGTCTAACAATGACACAGTGAGACACATTATACTGCTCAGTTTAGTATACCAGTATCGTCTTCTTGTGACCTTGGACATGATAGTCAAGTCTCCACGCTCTGCTCTCCAAAAATAGACAGTAAGCTTGACTGGACAGAGAGACGGCACTGGGCAGATTTTGTATATAGTACCAAATAAAAAATAGTATCATACACCAGTCTTGAAGGATGTGCCATTTCTAAATTATATCTGTATAAATAGTACATTTTGGTGTTTTTGTGTGGTTTTTTTTAAAGTCAGAAATGTTCATTAAATATTTTTAAATCCTTAAGCAAGCATAACAGTGTGGTTTTCTGCAGTGTTTTACTTACATTCTGCCTACTAGTATATGTGCAGTGTATGTTGCATTCAAGGCATGCCTCTGGTGAGAACTGTCACAGTTGCCAGTGTGCTTATGTAAGCTCTCAACAGATCTTTCAAGCCTTGAAATGGCTGGTGTTGTAGCTGGTCATGTGTGTAGCATCATGGCAACTGCAGATCTAAATAGAAGCAAACCTAGCACCATCCTCAGTGGATAGGAGGGTTCAGTTCTGCTTTAGGCACCATCTACTATGACAGGTCCTGTCTTCCTTGTCTTTAACTTTACCCAGTTCCCAGAGACCAAGAGACGATTTTCGTACTGCTGCCCCATCCTGCCCCGATTATCGCAAGGTTGGATCAGTGGTAATTAGAAGAAAGCACCTGGACGAATTGCGGTAATTGACCGTGCGCATTTTCGTCTGCGCATGTGCAGTTTAAATCATACAAGTTTTGACATACGGAAGCGCCACCAACCTTGCGAAAATCGTACGATCGACTGAAGTTTTCTAACCTGCTGGTTAGTCAAAGGTCGATCGATTGTACAGTATTTGCGGTTGTACACTGCCCATCATCCTTACGCGATCGCATACGAAAATCGTACGATAATCGTAAGGTGTATGGTAGGGATGTACAGAAATATCGGCCGAAAATTGCACTTTTGGCTAAATGCCGAAAGTGCCATTTTTCTGCCTATACAGCGGTGCATCCCTGGTTTCTTTCCTCCCCGTTGGGCGCTGCTCTGTGTCCCAGCGGGGAGGAGAGAAAGTGTGACAGCCGGCCGAGCGCTGCGGGAGGAGAGCGCTGTGAGCGGCCGGTGTCTCTCCTCCCACACCGCTCAGCCTCCTATCACAGTCCGGCATAGCGGTGTGGGGGTGGAGACAGCCCACGCTGTCACAGGAGGCTGAGCTCTCACCGCTCGCTCAGCCTCCTGTGACAGCGTGTCAGAGAGGAGAGCGAGATCACTCACTCAGTGATAGCTGAGTGTTTGTAGATAGTTTAGAACATGGTATGTTGACTATATCCTCAATTATGAGTGAATGGTAAGTGATCTGCATCCCCTCCTGTTCATTCATGATTGTGGCTATAGTAAACATACTATGTCCTCATGTTATGAATGAACAGGAACACTCAGAGGATTCCTCTTCATTTTTAACAGGGCCTGCAGAAAAAGAGATTGAGGACTCTGTGTCCTCAATCTCTTTTTCTATTTTAAAAGGGAAATTTTAGGGGTCTGTTTAGACCCCTAATATTTCCCCCAAGCCCCTAAAAGTAAAGTAAAAAATAAAAATATTTAATAAAAATGAATTCATAAATACAAATAAATATCAACAAAATACAAAGTTTATAAAAAATTAAATATTTAAAAGTTTTGAAAACATTTAAATAAAAACATTTTCGGTTTCGGCCTGACATTTTTTTTATTTCGGTTTCGTTTCGTTTTTCAAATTTCTATTTCGGTGCACCTCTAGTGTATGGGCACCTTAAGAGTTTAGCAGCAGAACCATCTCACTAATCAAAGTGTTATCACTCACACAGTGGTAAACCTTTATTCCTGGTATTAGAGACTATAGATTGTGCTTAAAGTGGAATGGAGGTGGATTCCCTCATTGCTGCAGATATAAGTAACAAACCAGTTCCTGGTGGCAATTTCATCTCACAGTGTATTTTCTTACAGCCGCATCATTTACTCAAGAATGTATATAGTAGAGGCAGAAATTCCCCTCTAAACACTACTTTTTTCTTTTTCTAGCCATGGGAGACTATTTCCGAGGAAATGAGTTTAAGCAGTGACACTCTGAATGCATCTCTGCCACCACCTGCATCCCCTGTCTCTCGGGCCAGCGCGCTGGAACTTTCAGAGGAGCTCAACCGGAGGCTACAGATCAGTTCTGAGTCCAACGGGGAACAGTTCAGCTCACTCATTGTAAGTAATGAAAACTGCTGTTGGCACACATCCTCTTCTGTACCACGACATGCCCAGCCTGCAAATAGCTATGTGTCAACAAATTACCAGTAATTAGACTTCTGGAACCTAATCTAACAAAGATCCCAGCTGAGTGTCAGATGCAACTTCCTTGATTCACGAAAACCTTAGCACAGGAAAAATAAGGCCTTTGTATGCATCCCAACCTTGACAAATAAAAAACAGGATGCTCTTAGCCACACCCTAAATCCACCCAAACCCTGCCTCTCTTTTACTATACCCACCCCTACGCGTTACAGACTGCCTTTTGGACTTCAGGTCTCGACAGTCTCATCACAATGTGGACTGTTCTTTATTCATTCTTTTACCTGCACTGGGACAATTGAACAAGCGGTTGGCTTGCACATTGGCTTCTTCTGAGTTTCCTCTGGTTGCTTACTTCCACAGCCCCAAAACTTACATAAGCCTATTTGAATTTGAACCCAATTGCCCCTTGAGTTTGTACAGTACATGGCCAAAATGTGTGCCATCAATCATTAGATCATTAGCATCTTCTAGATTTTATTTATTACAAGCATTTATATAGTGCCAACAATGTACGTAATGCTCTACATACTGTACATTCACATTATTCTTTATTCGAGCTTGCAAGGTCGAAATCTCACATACATATAAGCACACTCGTACTAGATACAATCAACCTACCAGCATGTCTCCTCAGAGAAGTTTAAAAGTGAAAAATAAGTTTGGGCGGTTCCCCCAAATGTCATACCAGGCCCTTTAGGTCTTGTAGAAATTTTAATGTTAAGGGGGACCCCCCCCCCCCCAAAAGTGGGGGAAAATCACCCCTTCCTCCCTGCACCATCCCAGGCCACATGCCCTTGGCATTGGGAGAGTTTTTTCCCAAAGCCCCCCCTCGAAAAGAACCTTGTCCCCATGCCAATGTGGAAAAGGGCCTCTTATGCCACAACCCTGACCCAATGGTTGCAGGGGGACTGTGGACAGGGAGGCTTATTTGCATCAGGATACCCCCTTTTAATTAAGAGGGCAACCAGATGCTGCCCCCCTTGTGTATGAGTAAGGGGTACTTGTGCCCCTACTCATTCACTAAAGGGTTAAAGTAAATGAAGAGCCCGCACTTTAAGAAAAAATCCTATATTTGAAGAAAAGGTTTCGACAAAACCTTTAATTAAAAAAGAAAATCCCAATAATGGATATACAGGGAGGTAATCCAAAGCTCAATCACGATGTCCAGGGTTGTCCACGACTACGTGTCGAAATGAAAAAAAAAAATAACCACCACCCGCCGACTCGTCTGCCGCCACAAAATGAAAGTTTGACAGATGCTGGCCAATGTAAACAGATAGGCAGAACTGTTGACATTTGTCCGCACCTTCCAAAACGCTATTGCAAGTTGAAAACAAATGGGCGGAGTCTGCCGTGAAGTCACGGCTGGCTCCGCCCATTTGTTGTCGTACAATGACAGACTACTGCCTTTAGACACTTCCTATTAATGGGCTGTTATCGCTGGGTTCCTGTTGGGTTGAGCTGAATCGCTCGTCTGACTTAGGGATAATATACTAACCACAGACACCACGTTTTTTTCTTCACCGCAGCAAGGAGCTTGGGAAAGGCATAAGGTAACAATTATTCCGACTCTCTCCCATGTGGTGAATTTTTGAAAATGTATTCTTTTTATGTCTTTTTATTTTTTTTATTTTTTTTAACGTTAGGGATTGTAGGGTGTGAATTTTTATACGAATACAACTTCGGTCTCACTATTGGATGTTATCAACGACTTAGCTCAAGTCTTAAATTAACAAATGTTTCCTAAATCTTGTCTTTTCAGCAGCGGGAGCCCTCGACGAGATTGCGGTCTTGCAGTGTGACCGACAGTGTTGCGGAACAGGCTCAACTCTCCATGGTAAACCCCCCTCCTTCCTTCCCTCTGTTTTTCGTAGTTTACACAGCTTGCTCTTTTTCCTGTGGTACAATAGCTAATGCAGAGGCAAACTTTGAGAAAAAAAAAAAGATGTCACAGAGAAATATCAAAAATTTTACAGCAACTTTTTGTAAACAGGAAAAAGGCCACACAGTGTTTCTTCTTAGTTTTTGGTGGTTTGGGGTCTTTTCTTCTTGATTTATTTGATCACTAACTTTTGGTTACTTTTTTTTTTTTTACTTTTGAAAGTGTTAGTTGAAATATAAATATTTGATAGCACAGTTGCCCTCTTCTTGATTTGAAGGGGAAATTTCATCAATTGAAGACATTTTTTTTTTTTTTTTTTACTGTTTTATAATAGCTACTGTAAGACTGCTTAAATGTACTAAAGAATGAACAGTCCACGTCACAGCGATTGCAGTCACTCGGTTGGTTGATTTGAGTTTTTGCAGTATTTGGAGCCAGCTGTCAAATTGTCACCTTCAGTAGCCACACATGTCTGGTGGGGGTGGAAATCTTGGCACAGCAATACGTCTGGGCTATTAATATGCAGCATTAAAGGAGAATTATGAGGCGAGTGCTTTTCACTCAGCCTCATAATCTGAGCCGACCTGTGACAATTAAACTGTCACAGTCCGGCTCAGTAGATCGGGAAGTGAGCGAACATATACCGTTGCTCGCTCACTTCTCGATCTATCCCTGTAGAGAGTCGTGACTGTCACTCACGGCTCCCCCCGTCCGATCCTCTAGCGCTGACTGGCGGATCGGACGTGGGAGGGGGCGGGTACAGCTGGCTCTGCCTCTAGATAGGCAGAGCCAACTGTCACTCACGCAGCTGGGTGGATCCAGACAGCATTGTCGGGATCCGTTCCGACTGCGGCATCTCAGTATACCGTGAGCGGTAGCTCGCGGTATACTGAGCTTTGGGTGACGGGAGGACGTTAGTTTCCGTTACCCTTAAGAGAACTATGGGGAAAAGCACTGACCCCATAGTTCTCCTTTTAAGTTGGTCTTTAGGAACTCTGCAAAGTTTAATATTTACAGTATAGATCTTTATGAAGAGCTATATGCGCATGATGGGTAACATCAGAGCTTTTCCAATGTCTCATACTAGAGCAGGGCTGGACAAATCCCAGAAGCTAGGTCACCCGAATGTTCCTTAAAAAAATCCAGCTGGCTCCTAACTTTTGCGGTTTTCTCTAGTTTTGTCAATGAAAATGGCCCCTAAGAAAAATCCTGCTGGGTCATGCATTTGGCAGACTGGATTCTGAATTTCATATTAGTTCCCCCGCCCTTGTACCAGAGTCACTTATTCTCTGTATAGGAGATCAACTCACCATAAGTGAGTCAGCTGAGACAGAATAGTTTGGTCTTCCTGCAAAAGGGTGACAATGCTGTAAAACGGCTATGGAAATATCCACAATATTGTCACCCTCCTGTCCTCCCTGCCTCAGCCATTAGACTACAAGTGTGCCTCTTCCCCCAGTGGACCAACTTTATCACAGCTGATTGGGAAGCAATGTCATTTCCATAGTTGCCACATCACGGCCAGCCTTGTCCCTTTTCATTGCACAGCAATATCACAGACCTGAAGAGTACAGGAAGAGTTGCTGGAAATTCAAATTTTAATGCACTTGAAGGGACATTCCCAGCAAAGCAGAATGCCACTTCTAATTGTTGAGTACAGAAGAAAGGTGGTGGTCATAGGACTACCAAAAATATGTAACAATAGGTACTTTAGGACATAAGTTTAATGAAGTAACAATACCTGCATACTACTTCCCCTTCCCCTAATATCTATAGCAAGAAATCATTACGATTAACAACCCTGTCTAAGCTCTAAGTATATATACACCAAATGGAGCTTGCCAAACATTCTGAGACTCCAATCAATCTGCATTCCTCTGGGCTTTAAAATGTTACAATAGCATCAAGAAAATATAGGCCCAGTGCTTGCATATTGCTAGGACTCCCAACCCTGACGAGCGTAGCAAAGGTGTATATCAGCGAGATGGCAGGTACTCTTTCAAGAGAAGATGGTACGTTGCCCATTCAGGGTCTCTTTAAGAATTGTGTTTGGTTAGGCTCTAATATTCACCAGAATGACTGTACAAACGTTCCTACTTTATCCAGAACTAAAATAAAACAGATTGGCTGGATTTGTCTTTTAAGATTTTGTTCAAATTTCAGCCAACATACTAGGGAACCTTTCAAAATGCTTTTCAAATACTCTTACAATGCAGCTCCTGAATTCTTGTCTACACAACCCTAATACCAAGTTCCCAGTACACACACTTGAGGAATCTTGCTAACCAAGCATGAGGCATAACCACAGCCATCACTGATACGAAATTTCCAGCCCCTCTTCCCTGATGCCTGGAGGTGTTATCTCATCACCTCTCTGACATTTACAGACCTGCCTTATTTGTCACTTGCATACATGATTGCTCAACATGTGAAATATCTTGCAGTATTCCCAACGATATATTTATCAAGCTTGGAAGGAAAATGGCTGCTCTGTGGAATCTGCACATCTCCTATAACACATTCCCTTAGAGGTTTATTATACAGATGTTGCCATAGCAACCAGAAATATTGACTTTTGGCAGAAATGATCAAGTTCATGGGTTGCTGTAGACACTTCCCTTCCTTGCAACAGGAGAGCAACTGATATGCAGTCCATGGGCCTCTGTGTGCTGCTGATTGAGAGCACAGAGGGGCAGAATGGAGGAAGCTGCTGTTGCATGTCGGGAGCTGATTTTTTTTATTGTCCAGCCGTAGTCACATATAGCATCCTGAGGAGCAGAAGGAGTGGGACACACATAGGAAAAGATATTCATAATTCTTCATGTCTGGGTGACAGAAGTACATTGCAATGAAAAACCTAAATAATGTGCAAAATTAGCTTGTGAGCAAATGCTATGTAGTGTTTTACTAGTTTCAATAGACTGCTATCAGTATATATGCTAACAACTAATTCCTTGATTCAAAACCTGCCTAATAGGTAGCTGAAGAGCCTGCACTGCATTGTGGGAGGCACCAAGAGCCTGCACTGCATTGTGTGAGGCACCAAGAGCCTACATTGAATTGTGGGAGGCAGCAAGCGTTTACATTGCATTGTAGGAGGCAGTGAGTGTCCACATTACTTTGTCGGAGGCGCCAAGAGCCGGTATTGCATTGTCGGAGGCAGCGAAAGTCTATACTGGATTGTGGGAAGCAGTGAAAGCCTGCTTGGCATTATGGGAGGCAGTTAGAGCCTGTATTGCATTGAGGTAGACAGGAAGAGCCCACATTGTGGAGGCACTGAGAGACGTCATTGCATTGTGGGGAGCATCAACAGCCTACTATTTTTGTGAGAGTCATTGATAGCCTACGTTGCATTGCGGGAGGCAGCGAGAGTCTGCATTGCATTGTGGGAGGCACCAAGAGCCTGCATTGCATTGTGGTAGGCAGCAGGAGCCTACATTGCATCGTGGGAAGCAGCAGGAGCCTGCATTGCATTGCAGAAGGCAACAAGAGCCCACATTTTGGAAGTCAGTGTGAGCCCCCATTGCATTATAAGAGGCAGTGAGAGCTCACATTGTATTGTTATAGGCAGTAAGACTCTTCATTGTCCCATGGAAGGCAGTGGGAACCCATATTGCAGTCAGAGCCTATTTTGCATTCAAGCAGCAAGAACTCGTATAACACTATGTGAGGTAGTGGGACCCCACTTTGCACTGTGGAACTGCAGTGAGAGCGCATGTTGCACTATGGGGGGCAGTGAGAACCCACATTGCATTGTGGAACACAGTGAGAACCTACGTTGCAATATGGGAGGCAGTGAGAGCCCATATTGCAATGTGGGAGGCAGTGGGTATCCATGTTGCACTTTTGGTGCCTGCTGCCATGTTTATCTTACTTGCAGGATACAACGTTTATCTTACTTGCAGGATAAACCAGTTTTTGCTTTAAGCTGGCATATATATGGCCCTTTAAGTTATAAATAATCTTACTTGGACCCTCAGGCTCTCTTAACCAATCTCTTCCATTCACCATGTGTAAGCACAGGGCTAACGTGTGCACTGCTGCAATCACTAGTCATTTAATTTCAAAGCTGGAAGTTTTAAATGGGTTACGTTGTGTAATTACGCTGTCACTGGTCAGTTATTAGCAGATGCCATCACTCAAATCTCACTCGCTCATGTTTCACCACAACATGATGGAAGTCACCTACGCTTTCCAGGAACACTTATGGAAAAATGCTTTGGGTCGTACTGTTTCCAGAGCCCAGCTTCAGGATGGATTAGAGAATGCCACATCTGCATGTTGTTATGAGCTTATTTATAAAGGGCCATTCCAAAAAGTAATGCCGTCACTGGGAAGATTAGTAAAGTTTTAATGTGATGCAACATGCTGTACAGATACATACACTAAAAACACATTTTAAGGTCTTTAATTCTATAAATGTGTCACTGCCTTGCCTCCTGACCACTCGTTCTATATCCATTTTCCATCACCTATAGTAGCAAGTACTCCCAAGTCCCTGCAAGTCTGATTTCCGTTTTCAGCTGGCATGTGGTAGCCTAAACATAAAGAAATATTTTAGGTTTTACCTTAGTTTGAAAAACTACAGTTTTTTGCAGTCTCTCTGGCTGCATATTTCCAGCACGTGGGAGGTTGAAGAAAATGTTTAGGGACACAAAAGCCCCAGACATATTGTGAGGGAGAGGTTGTGACAATCTCTATAGGGTGGAGCATACATAATGTCATCAGGACCACTAGATAAATCACAAGATTTCATGAGTGTACATTGGACATTATACCTTCTTGAAACATTTCTTTTGTACAATCTTGAGTCATTTAGTTTATGTCTTTCTCAAAATCAACTAAATCATTGATACCAATATCAAAATTATTTACTTCAGAAACTAATGATAAATCTGTGATTACTGAAGGCCAATTGCTCACAAAACTGATATTTTAGTTTGTTTTTTGTCGGTGGTTGAATATCCTGCTTGCTGCTTACATTGGTGCCCCTCTCTCACAGCTGGAGGCCCCCACTTTGGTTTTCTCTGTATCAGTCTTTCTCAACCTTACAGGAATGCCATAAAATAACTTTCAGGGTTTAGGGTACCCTTGCTAATAGTTATATCTGCAGCTTATGGTACATTAGTGTGGACAGTAAGTTGACATATTAGAAAATATAAAAGAATAAGCAATGTGTCGTACTTATCTTATTTGACACCCAGAGCTGCCTTATACCACCAAATTATTTTAAGTAATAATAGTGAAATGAAACAAATGATAATGAATAATAGCCAGAAAAAAAAGCCAGGCAGTACTGTTCCCTCACATTGGTAGTCAGTGGAGAACTGCTTCCTTACATTGGTGGTCACTGGAAGAGTGACCCTCTTACATTGCAGTCAGTGGGAGAAGGACCCTCTTACATTGTGGTCAGAGAGAGAAGGACCATCTTACATTGTGGTCAGTGGGAGAAGGACCCTCTTACATTGTGGTCAGTGGGGGGAGGACG